ATCAAAAGTCGAAATCTAAATTCAATAAAATTACATTATACATGTTTTGGACCCCATATTTAGCGATATATATAATTTTAAAGGATCAATTTTAATAAATTATTAAAAAAATAAATTGTTGATGTTTTTCATTTTTATATTTCGTCACCGTTCACAGCACTCCATACATCTTCCACTTATATACCACATCCTTATACATCTATATTAAATTAGTTACTTTTTTCTAACAAAATATTCTCTAGAAATAATTTATATGACAAAACAACGTTTGTCGGGTCAGCTAGTATATATATTATTTTATCAAAATTAATTAAATTGACATATCGAACTCTAATGTCTCACTAGAATTATATCATCGCTTTTTTTAAAATTGTTCTCTGTTGGCATTCCCTAAAAATAACGTGCAATGTGCCAGCTGCACCCATTAAACAATTTTGAAATAATTTTTATTTCAAAATTTGCCACGCAATTGGCATGAATTTGCACGAATAAATTTAGAATTTCCACGGTAATACAATATTTGCAGATTCTTTACTACAATTTTTATCTTTTATTTGATGAATAGCTTATAGTATATACAGCTGATGAATTTGTACACGTAGAGTACCTATATCAATTTATAGACCACTGAACGTAAGAAACAATTAATATTTACAGATTAAATTTAAATTAAGAAAATAATTGCTAACTCACTTTTGTTGCGATCGTCATCTATACTAATCACTTTAACTTTGAATTCAAATAAAGCATCAATAATCACTGATGGTATAAGGATTAGTTTTCGTTCAACCATTATAGTAAATACAGAATTTATTGAAAAGCAATATTTTGTGAACAAAAAACATAAAAAAAAAAACTATTAAAAAGACGAAGAAAAAAACTTTCAAAATTAATGATAAACATACTGGAGCAGCGTTATCTGTTAAGCATTTATAATATAAAACATAATCATTCATTTGAGGACGAAGAAAAAGAAAACACTACGCCGGGTGGCTAACGAGCCAAAAACAAAACGTTCGCAGACGCGGCACGGCGCGGAACGGCGATTAGTTCGGATGAACAAAAACAAAGGCCAAACGTAGAAAAAAAATGACGGACTGACGGCGACCGGACACCGGATCGCGAACCTGTTCCGTAGACGGTGGGAGAACGACGAAAAACTCGCCGGCGACGGGCAACTTGGCCGCGGCGATAGCGGGGGTCCAGGTTGGACACTCCGGCGCGACAACGTTACGGCATATTATTAATTGCGACATGACCGCGCGCAATTTGAATTAGACTTGTATCCAACAACAATAGTATAATTGAATACCTACCACACGTGATTATAATATACAATACAATATTTAAACATGTTTGACGCTGTACGTACAGTTATATTATATTGTACTATAATAATCCATTTCCATAATGGGTTGAATATACGGGTGATGAGTAAAATTACATGAACCTAAATAAAGAATTCCGTCTCTAAGTTGCAAAAAGCGATACGAATTATTAGAAATATCTGATTTGATAGATGTTGTCTTGTATTAATAATGAATATTGTTTATATATTATATTTATATGTTATTTTATATATTAGTTTAACTCGAATTGATATAATTAATAAAGTAAATAATTATCCCAAAAACATAATGTTTATTATTCTAATGTTTTGTGGTACACAATATTCTTAGTTCAATTTTCTGGCGCGTGTATGAATAGTTTTGTTGATATTCCGACACGGAAACAGGTTGCATACAACTTGCTATGTGAAAAACATAGATTTTTATCATTGATGCCACAAACACTTAGCGACTGCCCTTATCGACATTGCTAATGTCAGCCGCACTAGAAATTGTAACTGTTTAAAGTTGAATGTCATATCGTTCGGAATCAAAGGAATCCGTGAAATTAAAACGTTTTCGCCTCTGTGCTTCCCTTTTAAAATTGTGGTTTCGATGACGTTTATCATTAATATTATCTTCACCACTAATCGGGTGCCATTATAAAGACCTTTTGGTTAATATGCAACATAATTATTTACGGATTCATTTATATATATAGATGTATAAGCTATCGTGCTCTGACCTTTTCGAAATTTGGTGTTTTGATTTATTTTTGTTATATGTTCGAACCGAAGCAAACCGAATCTTTGATAATACATTCAGAATTCAAACTGTAAGAACATTATTAATTACCTAGGTACATGGTGTTTCAGATTTAGAACTTAATTTGGAAAACTGTTATTATCCACAGATACTTCTTTAAAAAATGTACGTATTTAGAGATAAAGTAAGGTTTTAATGATATTTGTCTTAATTTTCCCTTAATTTATGAATTAGCATGTATACGTCATTCTTCTCCAAGAGAAGAAATATTATTATTTCCTCATTTATTATTGACAGAATAATACCTGTGTTTATATATGTAGTATGATATAACAGGGTACATCATTGAATGGTTCATAAAATGTTTCTCACTAAAATAATAATAATAAAAAAAAAATCATTTGTTAACACAGTCATACGCAAACACGTTTGATGGTCGAGTTTGAGTAAATAAAAAAAAAAAAAAATTACCTGTATGAGATGAAAATCATAAATATTTATTGTAGTAACTTTAAATAAATACATAATATTCATATGTGTAAATCGTAGTAAGTAGTACCCAAATTGTAATGGTTCGTCTGCTCTAGCACTTACCTTCCTCTGAGAACCTTACTTATATACAGGTGTTTCGGTGTATAAATAAAGAATATTAAAATAACCTACCTTTGACAATAATATTTATGACCTATATAATAATTAGTTGTTTACGATTTTTGATGTCAAAGGCGGGTTAGGGTAACCTAGTAAATATTGAACGAGATTAGACTTGCACACACTTATGATCGTTTACTTCGCACATATAAGTCAGTTTAATGCTATCATGTTAAATTGCCTATATTGATTTCCTTAAAATACGATCGACTGCAGCCCCCTTAAGCTCTATAAGCTCTTCGTCACGGTAAAATTAAAATGAATTAGGAAAAATATAACTTATTATGTATGCAACATAAACAAAAAAAATCTTGTTTCCACGATCGACGCGATACGTGGAACGATAAAAATAAGTCCGGTGCACACATCGATTGTACCCCAACGACGATGTATTAACATTATTAATAATTATTATATATTAATGTAGTAACCGACATGTAGCTAATTTTTGTACGGCCGCCCGGAGCACAACGAATGTGTGCTCCACTAATTATTCAATCGCTAATTGACTTATTATTCAACACGAAAAGCTGCAAACACTTTTTTTTTTTAATGAATATTTTTTTTAATTACAGACCGTGTGCATAATAACCAATTATAATTTATCACAGGAATCTAATAATTTTGTATATAATTTTGTTTGGGTGGTTCACATACTCCTGTGCACGAGTTCGCGACTGGCTTTAATATAATATCTATTATGCTATATTTTTATAACACATTATAACATGTTCCAGATCATACCCGTATTCTCTTAGTTTTATCTATTTTAACTGCTTTTGTATTGGTATATATTGGTAATATTGGTAAGTATTTCTATGGGTATGAAAATCACGACACTTAAAAAACGGCTGCTTTAACATTCCGGTAGATCTTTTATTCTTTTCTTTTTTTAATGAATCGTGATTTGTATTTTGAAAGTCATAGATTCTACCAGCACTAAGCAGTAAAACGTAGTTACTACGTTCTTTCCGAGATGGCGGCAGATGGCGATTTGCGAAAGCTATCGTTCGTGGATGCAAGACGAATGGGAAAAGAACACAAGGATATACCGTTGCATGATGTACACTAAATAGATAATCATATTCGAGGTGATCACACGCATTGTGCAATACAGCAGTGGAGATAAGACACAATCAACAAGACGAGGTAATTGGTTGCTAAATTCTCATTTTAATCTCGAAAATCAAATAAAAATAAATAAATAAATAAATAGTGTTACTTACACAATCGAATAGTAATAATAAATGTCGAACGAAAGTCTTAATAGAGTATATTATATTATATGGTATATACATGAATGTAAATAATATTTTTATATTACTACCAATGTATATAATTATAGATATGTACAATTTGAAAACAATTTTATACAACCAAAAAAGTGGCAGTCTATGGAATATATTATACACATATATATATATTACGCTGTACTAATTACACAGAAGCTGATAAGAAACTAGAGCGTTTTTTGTGTAATGTATATATATATATATATATATATATATATATATACACTAATTATTAACAATATAGGATTTTTGCAATTTATTTTATACATAAATATTAGAGCAAACGAAGCTCACATGATATGTAAATGTTTCAACCGTCGTGGACGATAATATAATGTATAATACGATCGCATCGAAATTAACAATGGTTGTATAGGTACATTAAGACGTGTAAAATTATTAATATTATGATATTTTTAGATATTTAAATCATTACAAAAAAAAAAAAATAAATAATAATAAAGGGTTTATAATAATAATTTGTATAGAGATAAAATAAACGATTAAAAATTGTTGTCATTGGGACTCATTTAAGAAGTTTTTATTTGGTCAACTATTATTTGAATATAGCGTTACTATAATATAAAATATTTGGTTAAGCGATGGGATTTTTTAACTCAATACATAAGATAATAATAAATTACTTTTTATTACATTTAATTAGACTAGATAGAAAAGTTTTTTTCAACAGATTTTGAAACTATACAAAAGAAATTTCATACATAAATAAGGAAAACAACTAAAATATTTAATAAAAAAAAAAAAAACAAATCAAGAATATTATAATACGTCGTCGTACGACTAAATACGATTAAATACGTAATATAATATGATATAATATATAGTTTAAAATAATTTCTAAATACAACTTCTATGTATACAATATATATATTAATATATATTTTTGTACAAAAATAGTCTTAATGAAAAACATTAAAATTGATATTTTACTTTAATAGTTTTTTTTTATTTTTTTTTTTTATCGTTAATAATTTGTAGTTGGTCGATTTAGAATTAAAAATTCTCCAAAATAGCGTTGTTTGACATAACGATTATAATAATAATAATTATATGACGTAACTATACCGACGTGTGTAATTCGAAAGTTTCCGGGATCGGTTCAAGTCGATCGACTTTAATAACTGGAAAACATAATCGATACTAATTTAATGACACTTTGCGTCTTGTATTATTTATTTCGCTGACGAGCTGATTAACGGGCTGGTGGCGTAAGGTTGTCCGTTGCAGTTAGGTAGTGCAAAGGGATTCATGGCGAATGGAGATGTTACTAGAGTGCCCATTCCTATAAAAATAAAAAAAACATACGTTTTAATGAGCCAGCAACAAAATGTTTTCATGTAAAGTCAAGGTTAAAAAAAAAAAGAAAAAAAAAGAGTACTTGTAACGAGAGATACTAAAATAGAAAATCATTACATGATTAAAAATTAACCAATGGCAAAAACGCGGAATTATGTTGGTGTGCAGGCAAAAAAAATAAAATGTAATGAGTAAGGTGAACGTTTTACTGAACTTGCGGATAAGTACAAAAATGTGAGTTTAAGAAAGAAAAATCTTTTCCAAAGGTTAATATATTTTTAAACTGATCATAATTGCTATCTTGCAAATGTTCGGCGATTTAATAAATATATTATACTTTATCAACTATTTTTATAGCTTTATACAAAACAATTTCTATAGAGCGATTGTTCTTACGTAAACGCGAACAAATTATTAGATTCTATATATTTTTTACTTAGAGTAATTGGCTGTTTAAAATAACACTTCAGTGGTTCAACAGACGAATTCCTAACGTACTTAATTTTGTAAGTTAAACTTTAAGCACAGTATTTATTTTCATAACCGGTATAAAAGATTTAACGAATGCTGCGTAAACCGTATAGTTGTGTATATATATGCGTTGTAAGTTAATTTTAATAAAGATTTTTTGATCGCTTAGAGATTATAATTTCATTGTTGTTTTCGAATATAAAATTGTTAAACAGGGATAAAAAAATACGTTATCTATTTATAATATTTCTTTAGTACGCAAACGAGTTTATCTTTACACACCAACTATTAATCTGTCTTATTTGTTTAAAATTAGTTTGATTTCAATCAAGTTTGGTATTGAATAACAATTATCTGGGAAAATTTTTATACGGTGATATAAGCCGGAGCGAGGTACTACATTATTACGGATAAATTGTATTGAAATCTGTTGCTGTTACTCTGTATTAGCAGGGGGGCACAAGTACCAAGTCCGCAGATACCGTGCAACTGGCGATCATCATGCATACAATAACTACGATAACTCGTAAATAATATTATATTTATATGTTGAAGTTGTGTGGAATGTTTGATTTTTTCTTTAGTCTTTAGTCTTTTTGTGCCATACTGTTCACGGGTTGCGAGATTGGTCACGGGCAGTTTAGCGAATTACTTGACATAAGGGTCTAAGTGCCTCGGAACTACTCGACAAGGGTCGGGGTAGGGAGATTTCGGCCCTCGAGAATTACAATTTTTTACCAGTCTTGAATGCATCGATGACCCGTTGAGTGTATCATATCGGATTCGTTTCAATTAGGGTAAGCTAATTTTTCGAGTAAATATTTTCGCAAATTAATTCTGCGGCTCTTTGATTTCTTATCGATTTTTTAACCGTTTCCTGTAGTACGGGCAAGGGAACCGTGCTAAGCACGTGGAAAAGTTTGGCAGTCCAAAGACGGTGACAGTTATGTATTCGGTACAGTATAGTTGTAACCAGTAAGTAAGCCTGGGCATCAACGAGGAGTTAATACGAGTCTACATTAAATTGATTTTAGTTTGTAAAAATTTTTAACGGCGTCATTTTTTTTTTTTATTATTCGCGCATCGCGATACTATAATACACAGCATTCGTTCTTAGAAAATTTCGTCGTGTTGCTATAAAACAAAAAACGTTCTATGATTGTAGTTTTGAGACAGAATTAAATTTTATTCTTAACACGTCCAAAAACAAAATTAATCGAAATCCAGCGCATTCGTCGTAACGTAATTGTTGTTTAGAATTTTTCTGCCAAACATACATAATCGAATTTGGAAAAAAATAAAATGACCCGGGTAGCGGGGTCGAAAAACATCATCGTTTCGCACCAGTCTCGGGTGCGATGAACTAGGCGGACGTATCGACTGCGTTATGGGGTCGCGTATTGCACGTCGTGTACTACTCACGCGACGAGGAGTTGAAGAGCGACGGGTGCGAGGTGGCCGTGGGCGAGTTCATGTTGGTCAGTTGGACGGACGACGCCGCGGACGTGGTGTTGGGCATCGAGGACCCGTTGTAATTGCCGCCGTTCCCGTTGTTCGGACCGGAATTGGACTGGTTGCCGTTGCCGCCGCCGCCGCCTCCTCCGCCGCCGCCGCCACCGCCGCCTCCGCCTCCGCCGCCGCCGCTCACGCTGGTCGGCGGCGGGTTGATGTACGTGCTGCCGCCGTTCGTGCCGTTGGTCGAGTGCGGCGTCGATGCGCTGGACCCGTAGCCGCCGCCCCGAGGTGACACGCTGCTGCTCTGGCCTCGACCGTAGTCGTCTGCGGATGTCAACAGAAACGTTTTAACGTGCACAAGCCACGCGCGTTCACGCGAACGTGTAACTGTTGGCGGTCAGAAGTAATGGAAAGTCTCTTTTTTTTTTCTAGCTCGCGTTTCTCCCCTCCCGTTTATTATTCAAAGCTAAACCTATCGTTTTAAATCCTAAAACATACCGTTTGTGTTTCATACCCCCAATCGGTATCGTAATTTTTATCATGAGATTTAAAATCTTTTGTTTCACGCAAACAAATTTAACGATATAATGTCGCGCGTTCGACCGATTAACTCGTGTTTCACTGACTTCATCTTATATTAGATAAGTAAATCGCGTTCTATAGCGCGACACCGGACGGTCAATGTACGTGAATAAGACGTGATCACATAATTACAAGGAATAAATAAGTTATTATTTATCATCCCGTATAAAAATGTTATTTGCCGAGATACGGTTTTAAATATTTAAAATATTGACCTTATAGTTGCGCTAGTCCTGTAAAATATTCTGAAATCAAATGCACGATGATACGTTGTAGAAAGCACTTAAACAATTATTAATTACAATTAACAGACTAAATTATTGTTTATTCGTTTGTACACTATTTTCTTTATTATTATAATTTTTTTTTTCTGCGTATTCTAAATGTCTAACCGCAAACCGCGGTAAAGTTAAGTCTGCTGACTGTAAACATAATCGAATTGGACATGTAAGCCAATTTGATAACTATATCAGGTCACCCTTTTAAATCGATTTATTCCACTATCGTACAATAACGTTTGAATAATAAGAAATGTAATTTATTATTTTGAATTAAAATTAAATTGCAAAACGAGAGCTGACCATTATTTTCGATGAAATTTATGCATTTAGAACAGTAACAGCTTTGTTAGTGATTTTTAAGTGTGGACAACTGTACGTATCAAGAAGAGTAGGTGTAAATCTATAATGATATAATTTAATTACTAAAAAAAATATGTACGAGTATATACACACACATACTGATAAGTGGTAATAATTTACAACAAACACGATCACAGAGAGACAAACACTAACGAATCAAAATAATTATTTTATACACACGTCTTTAATCGTAACCGTGTTACATAATTCAATACATCGAAGGCATATATATATATATTATGGTGCATACATAATGTTATAAGTAATCGTATTACACATAAGATTTGTAATTTATGTGCACTAAGCCATCGTACTATATATAGGATAATTCTGTTGTCTTAGGATTTATGTCTTTACTATAATTACCATCAAAGTGTTATTTGACTAAAAGGGTTAATTAATTTGTTGTTTATTTATATTGTTTCAATGTGAGGTGAAACGTTAGTTTTATATTTAGTTTATTTGTTTATTCGTTAGTTTATTTGAAGTTATATAAGTTAATCAAGATTTATTTATATCAAGTCCACGGTTATTCATATTTAATTATAACTCAAAGTGAATTCTCATTATTTATTTATTTATATTATAATACATAAATAAAAAAATACAAATATATAACGTGAAGTTAAACTGTCTTAGGAATTTTGTGAATACATTGACTTGAGATTTAATTTTATGTTAACATGAAATTAAATGGATGGTCTCATGCGTATAAGTCATAAACGAAGCCAACGGCTTACATTACATCCCGCAAAAGACAGAAAAAGAAAACTTGTTAATCCCGCATCATTCGAACGATAAGGCGAGAATTTAAAGGATTTCGTTCTGTTCTACCCAATCGCCAACAATAGACGACTTTGGTGATTTATATATTTTTATTTAGACTTTAAGACTTCCTCTTGCTTGACTATACTGATGCCGAAAATCATTCGATTTGATACAAACGCAATGATAAAATTAAAATTAATAGCACTCACCGTCATTCCATTGACCCGTTGCTCCGTGATCGTGCACGGTGACCGCTAGCTGACCGGTGTACGGATTGAAGCCGGTGCCCGCGGATCCCGTTGACGACATATTGTTACCGTCCCTGTCACGAGAACATGGGGATCTGGGCAATGACAACGATAACTGGTTGTTTCTGGGCATTGTGTACAGAGCTTCCGCCAAGTCCGCAGCTCGTTTCAGGATCACTTCCTGCGCGTACAATAAATATTTATACTGGATATTTTTCTTTATAAATAATGTTTAATTAAAGTATGGAAGGATATGGAACGTTGTTAAAATAAAAAGCTCTCCAGATACCCTTATCTTACTACATAATACGAAAATAATACGAAAATTTCAAATTAAAATCACTTTGTCAAAGTTCTCGTAGAGGTACACACTTTAATTATTTATTTCTTAAATAAGCGATAATGACGTAGTAATAATAATATTTCATATAACTACAGTTAAAACGAATAGAAAATTTTAATAACTTATACAAGTAATATTAAATCGGCTCAGACGGACGTTTAAATGCCGTTTATTCTTCGTTTTATTTCCATGTGAATCTTCATTAGTGGAATTAAGCCGTACAGCATCGATTAGTATTTATAAGATAGAAAAAAAAAAATAGAACGACAGTACGGGGGATATCATCATCACCGAAGACGTCATTGATTATCATCACGATAATTTACCTTACACAATAATGATTGAGAAATTAATGGCAGCAATAAATATGTTGTAATTTTACAGATACAAATAAAAAAAAAACTCATCAAGTTAAATAAATTGACATTTTCTATGCGTTCGATTGGTTTAGAGGCAACTCGACATTTTTTAGCGATTCTACTGTAAATATTATACCTCCACTTGAGCCGCCGAGGTTCTATTGTTTATCAAAACGACATTTATAAGCTACACCCGGGGGTTAAGAAGCTACAGTATATTCGTTAACTGTCGTGCACTATACAATTCTGTGACGGTAAACAATCGTTGTAATTACCTTTGGCAGTTTTTCGGGATCGCCCGGATATCTTGGTACGAACTTCTGTAGTCTTTGGAAACCATAATCGATGGTCGGTTCACTCAGTGCTATAGTAGGAGATAAAAGAAACAACGGTTTTAATAATCTACATTCTATTAAGATTCTTAAACGCCGACGTAATATCCCGAAACGACATACAAATTTTCTAAAAACACATCGTCAGCATTTGATTAACAGTTTAGGTACATATACTTACATATATACGCAAATCTTCCGGGAGATCCTTTGCAAAACTGTTTAGATTTGTATGACAACGTCACTTCCACGATACCTGGTATGGGTCTGGGTGGTGTTTGTACTTGTATGGCATGAGGAGTTAATAGCTGAGAAACAAAATAATCGTATTAAATGTACGTGCTCGGACAACGCGGGAAAATGTTTTATCGATATATATATGTGTGTGTGTGTGTGTGTGTGTGTGTGTGTTGTTATTTTATTTGTAATTACTTCGCTCCAGACTAGATTGCTACCGAAAACCACTTGCAACCCGTCAAAAAAATTATCACCCAATATAGTAACCGAAGCTCCACCGTGGGTCCATCCTTCGCTCGGCGTGATATGTTTAATACAAGGGGTGGCTACGGGTAGAGGAGAAAACATGCCTAGAAAACAAACAAAAGACAAAGAAAATATAAATACAAAATCAAATTTACCGTTGAATATTATTGAACGCGAAACTTTTATCTTTTTCACTCTATCTTTCATTTTTTTTTTTTTTTTTTTTTTTAACAACATATATACATAGGTACTAAAATGTTATAAATTTATATATATATATATATATATATATATGCATAAAGTAAAGTTTTGACATGTTTTAAATCGACAACCCCAAAAAATCCTAAAAAGAAAACTTTAACTCTGGCAGAATATTGAATATATTTATTAATATATAGATATAAACACTCGTATGATATTCGATTTCTTCCACTTCCCCTATGGTATAATATTAGGTAAATTATTTGATTTATATATTTTATACATTTATAAAATATTCAAGGCGACGTTTGAGAAGGTAAATATATGCGAATTATTAATTTTTGATTACGTTCACTGAAATGACGGGTGGAAGCAATATTAATTTTCGATGAACTTCCAGCTGTGGTACCGACTCAAAATACACATTCGACGAGACCCATTGTCACAATACAAAACAACGGCAAACAAATCGTTACGATATTTCGATTAGGATAATAATTATACGAATATTATTAGAATACTACCTATAATACACGATCCTGTTGCCTGATCGGTGATAATGTAGATACGAGAAAACTGTATGGCAGACACGCAATGTCTCGCTGACAATCGATCGAATTTTGAGTGAAAACAATAGTATGATATAACGACGACGATTTCTGGTATATACAGTATAGTATAGTATAGTATATATAAATAGTAATGGAAACAAAGAAAAAAAATAATGGATTCGCTAGAATAATATAAAAAAATTTCCCAGACGGAGTGAGCTGTAAATAAATTCTATCCATCGGCATCGTTCAAGTCATATTTTTTTTCTATTTTTTTTTTATCTCTGGTATATATTATTATGTAGTGAATTGAAGTTACGCTTAGCTGTCGGGACCGAGAGATTTCTTTTGCCGGGAGCAGTTCAATTGCGACGCTGTATAAAATGGGTTTTATGCAGTGGACCGAATCAGGCGGTACCAATTCGGGACAAGAAAAAAAAAAAGAAAGTTTTAGATCGCAAAACTCCGTAGAATGTCGCCCAGCATACACAAACAACTTCCACGTGTATTTTTTCCCTTTATTTTATTTTCCCTCCTGTTTTCTTTTTTGTCCCTTTGCTCTTAGAGAATAATATGAAAAAAAAAACCGTCAAAACTCACACACGAATGTCTGTTTAGTATTACCCATGCGTTTTTTCGGCTTTTAACAATCACGAGACACCCTGTTATATTATATTATTAAGGTTTTAAATGTGTCTATTTTTTTATGTTTTATAAAAATCAATTATGATAAATAAGGATTAGGTAAGCCTTGTCACTGTTGTAAAAAAAGAATTGAACCATCCGGTTAAGTATACCATTTATGATAGTATAGGTACCTAATTCACGAGAAAAAAAATGAATTTAAAACAATATATATAATAAAATAAACATTTTTACTTGTGATGAAATTATCTTGTGTGGTTCTTATTACTGAGTGTTTAAAATTTATTTTATTACTTTTATATTATATAGCTAACTTGGCTATACTTTGTTATTGCTATTTTTTTAATAGATATATTTGACTCGGTGAACTTTGTATCAACTACAATTTATCCTTCTTTTATATATTTAGTGTCCCCGTGTACATCGTTGTGCGTAAAAATCGTCATAATAATTATTCTGTTTCAAATATTATTTTTTAATTTTAGACACGTTTTTTAAATAACAAAGTAATCTCATAAGCTAATATAATAACCTACTTTGTGTGTCATTAGTGCATGTCATATGATTTATTTTGAAATATTTACTTAAATAAAACGAAATACTATGTAAATTAATTTGTTTATTTAAATTATTAAATACTAAGAGTAAATAACATTTTTTGTTTTCAGATCTTCTGGTAATATAATAAACTGATTTTCCGGTTTACCTGTTTTTGATAATCTCACTTATAACAGATCATGAACAAATTCATAGCAATATATTGAAATTATTTGGCCTTGAGCCTTATTAATATTAAAAGCCAACGAAACTTTAATGGAGAATTAAAGTATCTTATACTGGAAAGATAAATTAGTAGGAATCATAGGTATACGGTGTATTACGGCGATTTTTCTCGTTGTACAGTAAAATACTGTCACTGTTCGATGACTACGCGACAAAAATACAAATTTTCTTTAATTATGATCTTCGGATATCCAATCAAGTTTTCAATGTCGTGTTATACATTAAAACCTTCGCCGAGACACAATCAATTATAAAATTAATAAATAAAAAAATGACAAAAAAATTTAAAAAGTTAGATCATTGAAACTGTGGTTCGAACTCGAAATGTCATTAAATCATAGTATAATAGTCGATGACGATAGCAATTATACGAACTACGTGTATGGAAAGCATTGATCAAATAAAATAAAAAATGTTAGTGCATTTTTGGTAGTCATTTTTACATTTTTAATACATTTTTTTACGTGAATTATTAATTTTTTTATGTCATAATTGAATTTCTTCTGAGGCATTTTAAGTTATTTTTTAGGGCATTCAAATCCGTGCCCTAGTAATGATGTAATGATGTAAAATAAAAATACTTGTATCAAATTATGTAAAACTTGTACATTTATAACAACATTGGATAAAGAGAGCCGGAAATATTATTAGTTCTTATAGGAAATATTAATAAATAAATGATTACTTGAGTACCATGTTCATATTAACGTAATATTCTTTGGCGACATAAATCCTAAAACGTTCAAGAATATTGTTAATTGCCTATATCGTTAATTCCTTGATCTACGTCTTTGCCGAGAATACGTAAGTAAATTTGTGTAATAATATATAAGTGATATTAGTAGCATATCATCAATCGATGATTACGACGACGATGTCGCAGGCAAGAAATTAATACATACACGTATAGTATAATGTATACGATGTGACCTTTATCGGAACCCTAATTTACGAATCGGTGAAAATTAAGCCCACGCGCGGCCAAATATTATTACGTTATAATTAAATTGTTCCGCACAATATGTGCTCGAAAAATAAAAATAAAAAATAAAACCAATAAGGTTTTATAATGACGTATACGTGTACCCAGTGCCGTGACTACAAAATTGGAGGTCCGTGTACGGTGATTATATTAGGCCCCTTTCTAGGATTTATTTTTGTTGTACGTCTTATTTATAAGTATCAATTTTTTTAGGTTTTAAAACACGTTTCACATCAGTTAGTGTATGATACATGTACATATATACCAAATTAAATACCTTCAACTGTTGTATACTATACTTCACTACATATTTGTGTAGTAAATTTATTTAACTAGTTTAGGTAGGTATGTTGTATGTCTATTCAAATACTCAATGGACTCATTGTTAAATAAATATTAAATTATTCTAAATATTATAACATCCTTACCTGAATTTTAAAAAAAGTTTCTTTTTATTATAAAATAATATTATAATATTATTAAATAATTGTGCGTTTGTAAATTGTATTTTATTTTAAGCTGGGACTAGGGGGCCCCCAAATGTATGTAAGCCTTGGGGCCCGTGTACGCGGCACACTATGTACACCCAGTTTTTGCGGCACTGCGTGTACCACTTCAACAATATTATGCAAATGTAAATCTGACTTAAATCCGTGAGTTAATATTTACCCATGCGTATTTTCCTTACCATCGTTTGGGTCTAAACGTTTTGCTCGGCGACCGTGTTTGGAGTTGTTGTGTACAAACATGTTATCCGATACGGCCAATAGAGGACCTTCAACCGTGACTTGTGTCGAAATGACCACCTGAAAATTAAAATTGAACGTTTAATTTAGTATAAATATTATTATTATTTTTTTTTACTATCCGCAGCGTTGCACATTGCACGGTGATCCTATTAAATTGCTATACCTATGAATGGTGGAGTAACTATTTTATAATATTATCAGAGGCGTGCGCAGACTTCAACTTCCAGTCGAGCCTGAATACAATTAGTGCCCCAATACTTAGACAATACCCCTAATTCTTTTCTAACACTTCAACATAGTAGATTCTCTTGTAAATTAAAAACAATGTAGTATTTATATCTATACATAGAATTAAGTATTATATTGCTAATTTTTAGACATATATGTCTAAAAATATATATATTTGAAGTTAAAAGTAAAACTAAATTCTTTAAAATCAAATGATATAAATACAATTAATTGATTTCCACCGACATATTAAAATATATATAGACATTTTACTATAGTTAGTTTAAATTTTACTATGCCCTCAAAAAAATTAAGGTCAAGCCGGGGCTCGTCCGGCTCACCCCGTGCGCACGCTTATGAATATTATAACATGTACTTGATACAAAGTAGGTCGGTAATAGCCGTAGAACCGCAGTTATAAGAAGCATTTTGATTTTGTTCGTTGTTTTTTTAAGTTAACCTATTGTTATTTATTTGGAATTTTTTTGAATTTCAGATAAGCGTATTATAATTGTATTAAATATTTTAATATATAAATGACAACAGTTTTAAACTGTACAACAACGATACAACATTAATCATGTATTTACTAAAACATTGTGTATAATATGAAGATTCATCAAATTTGACGTTTACTTAACGCGTCATCCATATAGGTACACAAGGTGAAAAAATTCTCTTACATTATGACTTGCATAAAATGACGGAGGGGTGCGCGGAATTCCTAAGATTTGTTCGCATTGTATTTTAGGTATGCGTTTTTGTTTGGTTCGAATTGTACTCGTATATGTGGAAACGTCATTGGTCGTAAAGCAAAAGTAAACGTTTACAGCCCATGAACTCGGCGGGTCAATTTATAAAAATATCTACGCGTTCGCGGCTATTTTACAGACGAGTTGAAAGGTCCAATTCGTGAAATGTTTTAATAATAATAGTTTTTTTGATTTTTTTTTTTTTTTTTTGTTAACCTGATGTGTTTGATTTTTTAATCCTTTTAATCCTTACCCAACATATAAATAATGTCAAATGATTATCATACGATTTTTTTATATTTAAAGTCAGGTCGAACACATGGTTCCGCGGGATACAGGTACCGCATTCGAGTAACTCGAATCCTCATATCGCAAGGCATTGACTGAACGGAATTTGATTTTTCGACAGTAATGTCCCTAACCATCTCGTCGTACAATTACCCTTCAAAACGCTAACGCTGGCTTGTTGTGTTCACGTCGTACGTAGAAAAAATATCGTGTGACAGGTACAGCAGTGACGAAATACGGACACACGTATGTCGACGTATACCATGTATATTATACGTGTGTACATGATTTGACGATCGTTGCGATGCGCGTTGTGCCGTTATCGTTACGGTTATTACTATTATTGTAATACGTTCGAATGTAGAGAACGATCGATATTATTGTTTTTGTGTTATTCGGCAAACCAACGAGGTGATGTAGATGTATTATTTTACGGTGCGCAGGTACGCCGGTGGTGTGTATAGATTAATGTTTGGCGCATAAAGAACGATAGGTTATAAATTATGACTCGCAGAGCTTTGTATACGTATAACCGTCGCAATTACTCACACACGCGTGCATTAGATATTACGCGGTTGATAAGTTCCACTCGTTTATTTCAAATTTATGACCGTAAAGGGTTAACAGCCGCGGTGTCGGTGCGCAGACGAATCAGATCCGAGTGTCGTCTCGTTGCGTTCGCGCGGCATCAGTGAACCACCGCATCGCACCGCTATCGTTGTACGAGCGTTATCAACAATAACGCACAGAGGAGTGTACAGTAGTACAATGATCGTTTGTCATTAATCGTCCGCAACACAAATGTTATTATACGTAGTGCAGCACGAACCGTTTCCCGCGGGAAGGGGGGGGGGGGTTCTTCAGATTTCAAAGGCACTCCGGGGCGACGGACGCGAATGGGGTCGAATACCGAGGAGCTTCACGGAGTTTGTCCGTATTGTTCTACGTGTCGTCTGCTCGACTAACGGTAATGGCATACCGGCTGAGGATGCTGCACATCGAAATACTCCTCGTACAAGCGCGCCCAACCTTTTCTCGCCACGTGCACGCGGTGGTTTCTGTTTTTTTTCGGTTTTCGTATGTTTTCCCACAGCGTTTTTATGTTTACGAAAATATATCTGTGTACCCGTGCGCAACAACAGTAGACTTTCGCGGAGAAAAATCGTCCCCCGATCGTGTAAAACTGTGAGGGGATGCGAACAGTACGGAGCGCGATGATAGTTTTTGAGCATGTTCAACGGACAATTATTGCAAACGCAAGACTGAGCGCAACGCACATCGTCGTCGAACTTTCAACCGGACAGAGTTTAATCGCGGAAATAATCGCGCGGTTCGTCGTCGGATGGCCGCGATCACCGGTTGCCTGATCGGGTTGCAACGAAACGCGTTGTCGCGGGACGCTGATACGGTCGTGCGATCGTAGGGCGACGGCGGTTGCGGTCGTGTAGTCAATTATTAAATCTCGAGCGTCGATATTCTCGCGGAAAGTTTTCCATTATTAAATAGGTGCGGCGGACGCGTGCGTGAGCGCTCACGGTGTAAATTAGATTGGCCGTCGAAAGTTTCGGCGCTCCCACCCCCCACCCCACCACCGCGCAACAATAAGAATCTTCCGCGACGCGGCCCACGCACAACGCAATGCACCCCGCACGGACGTACGCTTATTATTTACTCGCTGTATTATACACGTGCACCACATATATATTTATTATATACAACGAGTATTCTTCTCTCCGCCTTTCCACGCATCCTTTGCTCGCGTGCACTTCCGCGCCCGCCGTCTCTCCCTATCCTACCCTATCGTAACCTACCTACCACCACCGCGCACTACCGTCGTACAGTCTTTCGACCGGCATCCGACGACGTGGACGTTCAGGGGTGGTAATGGTAGAAACGGTAGTAATGTGTGCATAGTACATATATATATTTATATATATGTGTGTGTATACATTGTATACACTCACACTCGCACGCATCACCCGCCAACACCGCCACCCATTTTGCGGCGACTATAGGGTAAAATCGACTCCACCTCTCGAGGGTTTTGAATTCCGCCTCCGGGGAATAAGCCGCTCGTGCGGTACAGCGCGGTATACGACGACGACGACTACGACGACCGTGTGCGAGGAACTCGCGAGCGTCCTTGACGTCGTCGTCGTAGTCGTAGTCACAGTCTTTCAACCCTCACCACCGCCGTCACGCGACCACCCTTCACTGCCGTGTCCAGAGTCACAACCCCCTATCCCCCCCTCGAGGGAGCCGTTCCCATGGGAACATGCTAGCGCGAGAGCGCCGGCGACGGGTCGAAGGGCGAGACACGCGGGCGCGGGGACGGTTTTAAATCGCTAAAGAACATCGCCAAGTGCCTCGCCGCACCGATCCTGGGGGTTTATAGCGTCGACGGTGAGAGGACGGATGGACGGCGTGCTCCGGGGTGGGGTTAACGTATATATATATGTACGCAGTCGGGTCATTTCTTCGAGCGTTTCGACTTTTGCTGCCGCGAAATACCCGTGCCACCATATTATTATTATTGTTATTATTATTTCTATTGCATTATATTTATTATAATAATAATAGTGTATAACGGACAATTGGATGAATTTTCGTTGGAACGGCATTACGAGAAAAAAATGAAATAAAATAAATTCTTCTGATAAATATTATAATGTCTAAACAAAAACAAGCGATTAACGGTTGATGGAATGGTTGAATAATATTGTCTTGAAAGATTTAAAATATAAGTAATGGTATTATTGTAGTATTATTGTCTGTAAAATATCTGGAATCCAAGCTGTACAGGTAAGTTTTATCAGAAAAAAAGATAATCTTTTTGAAAAACTTAAAATGTTTTATGTTTGTTTGCGTAGTGAACGGTACCTATCTACCTTCTGGTGAAAATTTATTACTCAGAAAAGTGTTACAGAAAAAAAAAGAAAAAAGTGTGATACTTAAACTTTAATTATTTATCTATAATCAAAATTTAAATTAATTTGGACGAGATTAAAATGTTTTTAACTCGATCAAATTCAACAACATTCAAAAGTTAAAAGAAATCAACAAACATTTTTATTTATTTTTTTTATCAAAGAGAAATTAGCTGCTACAAAAAAACTAGGGAAACCCTGTATATTATAACAAGTAACTCAATATACATATCTGTTTTAACACAATCGCAATTTATAAGGGACTGTGAGAAAAAAAAAAGTGGTTTTGTACCCCTCCTTCCTTCAAATTATTTTTCAAATGTCATCATCATTCGTTATATTTATATGTTTGTATTTCGTAAACCGTAATATAGCATCATATTTTTAAATATTTTCTAGTATATGTATTATTATCCGAGTTTTCATAAATCTTAATATATTTCCTGGAAATGTCACAATTGAAAAATAACATGGTACCTAGTATAATGTTAGTTAGTCGTTGGTATTTTTATTTTTATCACAATCACCAAAAATACAACCGGAAACAGTTGCTGCTCCTGTAACAAAATAGCTCGGGATTGCTGATGATTGTAGTTATTATTATTATAGAATATGATTTCGCTTTATGATATTTTTCTTATTATTCGATAATATTATGTACTATGTTGTATAAAAACCGTATTTTTTTTTTTTTTTTTGCGTTGATGTCAAAGGTCAAATGCGATATGGTTTTATTGTATACACTCCTAATGAAAAAAATTTAATCAAGTTACACCACTATACATATCATACGTACGTACATGTATATAATATCATGCGATAGACGATCACTGCACCATGTACACGCAATGTATTATGTAATCTCGCGTATGCGTGCGGTGGTCAAAGTTTTCTTCAAAAGTTTCCGTGGTCAACGTTATATTTTTTTATTTTTTTTTTCTCCCACTTCCATTAATTTTCACCCTAAATTTATTTCGTAGAAATCGCACTCGCGAATGTCTGTAGAACATCGATTGGTTTAACCATAAGAATTTTTTAAAAAATTATAGTAATCTAGCTCGTGGGTCTGGATTAGTGTGCGTATACGCGGGTGGGCTGAGTTTTTTACGCTTTTTTTATAAGTTGATCGTCTAGTTTACGTCTAGCAATGCACAGAAAAAGAAAAAAGAAAAAATTACGATTTCTATACAATAAATGTCTGTACTATAATTGAACAGGGCCACACTGCAATGTTCGATGTCCACTTATTCTTCAACTCGCTGAAGATTCCTTTTACTTTAATGCATATATATTTAAATATATATAGTTAAATAAATATAGTTCATATAGTATACAGAACACTGTGATGCACTGATGCTCACTAAGTTGAATTTCGATTCGCAAATATCGTCACCACGTGGATAGATATTTGATTGTAGAAATCGTTTTTGAACACATATAAGTATATAAGATATCGTACTCGACGGGAGATATTAACATTACGTCGTTTTAGGTACATATACTAGGTACACTCGATCGTCAGGGTGACATTAATGGGTATTATAATATAATATATACATATATTATTAAATTATAATACCATCAAATATTATGTTGACGGCGGAAATACGCGATAGCAACGCAATAGTGGTTTTAAGGTTTTTTTTAAATCTAATAATGCGCCAGCGTATATTATATGTAGTTTGGTCGGAGGAAAATCATTTATTAAACCAAGCATTGAACTGATGTATATTTAAATTTTTGTAAACTTCTTTTTGTTACACCTTTTTCATTCAACTCCAAATACTATGTAAGATTCTTTTTTTTCTTTTTCTTAATGCAGTTGTATTACGTATGTATATTTTATTTTGCTCGCTTATTATGCGAACTAATGTTGTTAAAACTTTTAGTCCTGCCTACTTATAGCCCCGAAACTGCCGGAGAGTCTTGACATGAATTCTGGCTGTTTTGAGTAATTTTTACACAAAAAGCTTTAAAAAAAATAATTAATACGAGTAAGATTCTCAACTATTCTTCTCTTTCTCTCTTCCTCACTCCCTCTCTGTCTATCTTTTCCATTCACTCTTCACGGGTCTCATTTGTTCTTCTCAAAACGTTTGTTTGTTTATTTTATTTTTATTTTTATTTCTTACTTTCCTGTTGCTTAGTGTTTGGACGGGATCGCATTAATTATGCACCGTAATAGCATTTTATATTCTTGAAATTGTCAGACGAAAGAAACTTTTTATTATTATTATTATTATTTAAACGCGAAATGTGATAAAATATTTATAAAAAAAAAAAAGATCGACGCAAACGTATGTATAAATAAGGTGGAAAAATGTGCGACACATATATTTATTAAACAAATGCTTTTGACTGAAGATTTAACGACGATGGCCCATAACCAGCGTAACGCGGTATTATTTTGTGAATAACAACTATGCGCGTTTATTATAATTATTAAATTTCTTCGTTCGCGCAAACTTTTAATTTATATTGGTATGACATGCGCGTAGAAAACGTCAACGAAGATCGTTTAATTTTTCTTGTTTACGATGTTAACCCGCAATAATCGGAGTACATAATGTTATTAAAATTACATTTCGTGTTTGAACGACGTATAGGACACGCACGGCAAAGCCACCGTATAGACGGCGTATACCATTTTATGTTTGCACGTATATACATATTATAATACTGGAAAACCCTTTTACGTTAATGACTTGAATGAAAAAATATCCCTCAGGTTTTTTTTCAACCAGGGGAACGAAGGACTACCTTGTCGGTGCTTATACTTGCGTATACTTTCACTTATATTGTATATCAAAATATTTTTCACTTAAAATATATAGATTATTATAAAAATACATTTATTTTTATTTCTTATTTTTGACAGACGACTTACTTGAAACCTTCGCATGTCTCTGGGATTGCCAGCGTTTTTTAAACAATTTTGATTGCACTTCAAGAAAAACTTGAGGAAAAATCTATAAAACAAAAACGTGTCATTTCGAATTAGTTTTGTAAAAGTTATAACATATTAAACAAACAAATATTAGTAGTATTTCATAGAAGCACAAAAAAATTATTACACGTCGTGTTATGAGAAACAGTATTAAATTACATTGGGGGTACAACATTCGCATTTCAATAATATTTCTAATTTTGTACATCAACAAGTGTTCATCTTAGATCGTCGAGTAAACTCGTTCTCGTGTTTACTTGCAGTACGAAAATGAACACAAACACACACATTTATATATATATTAACTATTAAATGAAATTGTAGAGTTTGCGATGGTTATAAGTATGGCAGCAAGACGACGTTAAGTACACTTATCCGTCATAAATTCCATCACAAAATAGAATTTATGGCATCCAGGTAATAATATTGTATCGTTGTGATATTATTTCGACGAAAGTTTCGCTTTGTACCCTACCTACTATATACTAGTAATAACATTTTAACGTTTAATAAACATCGACGCCTTGCTCCTGTATAACCTAATTACTATTTGTTTCCGTTGAATTGTTTTTTCTATGTCTGTGCATTTTCTTTTTTTTTTCTTCGCTGCGTTTGCAACGCGATAAGTGCCTGACGACGTATAACGAGACAAAAAGCCCCCAGGATGCTGTCGGGGTTGCAGAATGGCGGATCGGAAGAATATTTAGTGAATTTATATGTACTTCACTGTATGTATATGTGTATGAATATACATGCGAACCCGGGGGCTTAGGGCGTAAAATTGCATTATTCAATAAATTATTATGGGGTAATGAACGTATATATACTGCGCTAGTCTTGTGAGTGTACGGTATGCGTGTATGTGTATATACGCACGTTCAATAGTCGCATGATAAAATGATCGATGCACTTTGCCAATCGTCCCCGCAAATCACCCTCCCACGCGTACCCTCTCGTCCGCACCCCGAGATCATATTATTATTATGGTCGACTATCACGCGCACACGGTTTGTTAGTTTGATAGAACGTATAATCTTCGGCACTCCCTCCCTCTACTGCGAACCCCGCTTCGGGGCGACTTCAGTCGCGGATGGTCGTCGCGAAAGACCGACGTAAACGACAAACCGTCTCCGCTGGTCGATTCCCCGAGGACTTTTGTACAAACACACACACACACACACACACACACACATATATATATATTTATATGTACACTATACGTATTCAGTTGCAGTCCGTAATGTATAATCCAACGCGCCGCCACCATAACAATAATGCTCGTGGTTTGTTTGGGTTTTAATTTTTTTTTCCACCGCTATCTTTTGTTACTTTTGTCGTTGTTCGTGTCGTTCTTACGTTTCTGACGGTTACACACCGATCGAACTGATTGTTATACTCGTCTTTGGTCGGAAAGTGACGTTTAAACAGCGGAGTCCTAGCAATAAGATTAAAACAACTAAAATATAACTCCGAGAGTAGCTGTAGTTGTGTCCTTAATCGGGGAATCACTTTATCATCGCACGAACCTCGACAACTTTATAATTTTTTGTTTTTTTTTTTTTTTTTTAGTTCTTTTCAACTACAGTCATCGTTGGTGATTTATTAACATTAGAACATCAACAGCGGTATTTATTTGTTGTAGCTTTTGAGCAAACAAACTCACGTGTACGAAAACGAAATGCGTTTCGACCGTATTCCTACACAACCGTACGGCGGTGACGTATGTACGAGAGTAGGGCACACGCGAGGGATTATAACATTTGGCCAGTACACGTCGACGGCGGCGCACGTGTGTATTTTTATCGCGAACTATCGGCCCCGAGATCAGTACACACGGGACGCGTGTGTACACGGTCGTGTGCCGAATAAATCGATTTTCGTGCAGATAACAATCTTTAGTAGCGATATTACGACGACGACAGCGATGATTATGATTATGATGATGATGATGATAATAATAATAGTAGTATTTACTTTGCGAACGTACGGACAGCAATAACTCGCGGATGGTTTTGGTACGTCGTCGTAAATACTATTATATTACACACGTTCGTTGCGTGTTTGACAATATATTATATCGACTAGACCGCACGCGTTCTGTTGTGTTACCTACGCATTAAATACGGGCACGGGCAATGAACGATTTCACGATAAGTCACAGAAGGACGGTCCACAGCGGTGCGCACGACGTGCCGGAAGTTTCACAATCGTATACCGGCAATAATTGTCGCAGAACAATACGGGCGGGGTTCGACCCCGGTCTCTGGACGCGATGCAAAGTGCGTCGACGGACGGGACCAGTCGAATTTTACACCACAGAAACGTGTTTACGGTACTGGTTCCGGGCGAACGGTCGGCGAGTTCGAGAAGTACTGAAGTTTCGACTGCATGATAGGCGTTTCCGTGTTCTCGTAACGACCGACGAATGTTTTTGTACAATCCATTACATAAATGAAATAAATTAGTTTTCGCCGATAACATATTACCACACCGTTATGAGTATGAACTATTCATTAATACAAAGCGTCGGTAGGCTCTTGGCAAGTCGTATCTAAATGGTCAAGGTAACTGTAAGAAAGACGAACGTGATATTCAATGGCACCGCACATACAATAATATTATTGATCGCATTAAAATCATGATTTCACAGGGACCAAGGAGTTACGTTGGATTGGGATTTTCAATGGGGGCCCATGTACGAACGTTGCACGCAGGTAAACATTGTTGCCTCACGTATACTGCCGATGTGCGGCAGCGTGTAGCTGCTTAAAACTATGTGCGAATCGATTAATATAGGATTCCGCCTCCGGGTCGGTCGATTGGCCCCTCGAGATGTAAGCTCTCCCCTTTACGTGCCACCGTTACCCTCTTGCATAATAATGATAATACTACCGACTTGACCCGAGGTCGGACAACTGTTTTCTCGCGACGTCGTTGATATAATACGTAAGAATGCAACAATATAATGATATAAATCACTTATTTATTTGCGTGTATACATGTGAATGTGCGTGAAACACTGTGAGGTTGAGTGTAGTGGCAGCGAAGAGAAAATAAACCAGAAACGCAGGAAAACAGGGTACCTACGACAGGTGAGGTGAAGAAATAATTGCATTTAGCTGACCGTGAAAAGAACGCGTGCACATTGACGTGCGGGACGGACGAAGCGAGAGGCGGAAGGCGGGAGCAGGGACTCCGTATACCTAATGTTTCTGCATTAGCCCGAAAAGTCGATGACTACACACCGACGGCAATTCCTCCCCGGGGATAGTTCAGCGACAGTCGTTCTCGTTACCCCGCAACAGTTTATCTTCGATCCTTAAGGTTTCTCTCTGCAACAACGTCGGTCTCGACCCCCTTAACCTTTACCTCCACCATACCCTTTCGTTCGACCGTTATATACGTGCACCCCCCCCCCCCCCCCACACACACACACATATGTTTTTATATATATATATATATATACATATACAAACAAAAATATATACCTGCAAGCCATCCATATACCACTTTATACACATTTACGTGTGTACTGTGCAGCAACGGCGATACTGCTTTAAAAGCCCTGACACGCACATATGGGCTGACCGTTTCGCTACAATCTGGCAAAGGGTTTTTTCGTCTCGTAATTAAATAGATCGTTCACGGCGGTTGCGGTAAATAATCGCACGCCCACGCGTCTCTTCCCATTCCAATGTTCATGAACCGCGTTTTTTTTTTCCCGTCGCTAGCAATTCGCGGTCGTGCAAAATAAAGTTTTACGTATAAAATCGTCCCGTTCGATAAGTTACACGACGATGGGAGCGACGCTGTTGTACACTGGCACGCGAGTGCTGCGCGCCACGAAAATCCAATTAGAAAAAACGGCGGAAGGTTTTTCGTTTCGAAAATATAAGAGCTATGCGAGTATGATATTGTAATAATTAATTTCGTCGGAAGCACATGTATACATAATCGACACCGGACGTTTCAGAGTGGCTGTTTTGGCGTAGTCATTTTAAATTTCTTCATAAAAATGATTTTTTAATCGCGTTTAAAAAAATATTATGTTTTCTATCCGATATATTTATTATTGTAACAAAATATAAAAGCATTTATCAGTTTTTACAGTTTTTACTCTCGTCGGTTAAATGAACGTATTTAATCAACTGTATATAGGCTTATAAAAGCGAAATTGGGAATATATTATCGCAGAACATGATCTATATTAGCCATTAGGTTATTGACGATCATTGAGTAATATAAGATTGTGAACTAGTCAGTAGAGAGTAGTTAGTAGTCACCATGGCACAAGCGATTGAAACTTTTTGTGGACGTGAAATATTTGTACATGATGGGTATATGTATATTTTTGATACATTTAGTGCAAATAAATTAAAAAAGTTTTGGCGATGTCGTGACTAAGATTCGTATAAGGCCAGAATTCATACATCAATAGAAAGTTTGAAGGTACCTAATTTAATACTTCATTATTTTTACTATCTATAGGTATATAAAATTTTATTTTTAATAAATAAATTAAATGTATTATAGTTTTAAAACAAATAAATGAACATTCGACGAATATAAAAAAACGAGCACGTGAGACAATGGAGCCTATATAAAATATCATCAATTAATATACGAGTGGATTATTACAAGCAGTAAACGTAAATATCTAAATTTTGTACATAAATTGATAATTAGTTTTAAATTACTTAGGAAACATTTACGCTGATGGAGCTTTTAAAAAACAAATAAGACGAACACGAAGTGAAATTCAAGCTGCAACTGATGCTCCAAAAGATTTGATTACATTAATAATACCTGAGAACTACCAGTTGTATTCGTAATTTAAGTTGTAACTGAACATTTTTTATTCACGGTAGTGGATTTGGAGTGGTTAGAATTTTCATTTTTGGTCATCTTCAAAATTTATAACATTTTATTAGAGTTTTCTAATTGGTTTATAGATGGCACTTTTAAAGTAGCACTTTATTTATGCTTTTTTATCCGATAAAAAAAAAATCTAACGTATGAACG